CTGACTAAGCTGGCGGCCGCTCCTTCCAGACGTTCTTGTCGTTTGTTCTCCTCAGGAACTGAATGCTTTCAAGGGCGAGGCTGCGCAGAAAAACAGCCGCGCTCGAATGGCAGTTCAGGGCTTCTAGGGGGGCGCGATGGCGAGAGTGCGTCCAGGGTGCTGTGGGGATCGGGGGAGGGGCCGCTCATGAGTGCACCGTGGCCCACGTCGGACGGCAGCCCGTTGGGGCCGAGCCTGGGCCCCCCCCCCAGTCCAAGGGCCCTCGTGGACCAAAGTGTTTGGGGGGATTTTTTGACCCCCCCGCCTGAAGCGGCGAACCTCTCTGATGCCATCCAGTATTTGAGCCGCCAGGTGGAGCAATTCAGGGGATCGGGCGCGTCTCGTGGGCTTGGGCCGCCCTCCGACTGCCCGCGGAGGCGCGGGGGGCCGCCCGCAAGTGTAATCAGCGCGCGACGCTTGGTTCTGACGCGATCCACCCTCGTGATCTTTCCAAGGTTGCGGAGGCTGCAGGCCCCGCGTGCGATCTGGTTCTGGTGCGAGTCTGAAGGCTGCATGCCGATCCTGCTGGCGCCCATGTTCACAGCGCTGCTTCCCAAGCCTGATGGAGGCTTTCGGCCAATTGGCCTGTTGCCTGGCGTCTGCAGAGTTTTCGAGGAAGTTGCGTGGGCCGAGGCCGCGGCGTGGGGAGAGCGTGAGTGGCGCCCCTGCCACTGCGGCGCTAGCCGTTAAGCATGGTAGCTTGGTCGGAATTGGAGCCGGGGCGGTCCTGGTGGGCCTGGCGAAAGCCCGCGAAAAGGTTCTCCGCGTCCTATTGGCCTGCGCGGCTGTGCGCCATGGCTCCCCCCCATAGGCTCATGCTCCTCCTTCGCGTGTTCCGGGCTCCCAAGTTGCTCCAGATGGGCTGCGCCGCTTCTGTGATCATGTGCGCCTTCCAGGGCGTCATTGCTGGCTGTGCGCGCGCCGCCCGCCTTGTGAAACTTAGCCCCGTCGCCCCCATGGGCGCCGCGGTCGTGCGCTGGCTGATCATCGGAGTCTTCGGCGTTCTCGATGACATCGCTCTTCGCCGCGGGCATGATAGCTCGGCTTGGACCAGGACTTGGAGCGGCGGCGCGGCGCCTGCTCCTGCAGCTGCAGGGCTTGCACTCGGTCATTTCCACAGATGAAAGTCTGGTGATCGCTGCCGACAGTGCGGTGGGGAAGGAAACTATGGCGTGTATCGGGTGCCATGGGCTGGGTGCCGCAAAGAACTTGGGGGTCGATTGTTCCGTGAGACAGCGCAGTCGATGCCTCCAGGTTCAGGAAAAGCGCATGGGGAGTTCGAAGCCGCGGGTCATTTTTTTTCGCGGGCTTCGCTCGCCTGTTAAAGGGACCGCCAGGGTGGTCAAGACTGGAGGTCTGCCGTCCCTCGTATGGGAGTGGTGTCGTAGGCATGGCTGACTCTAGGCTGAAGCAGATGAGCTCGTTGCTTGGCCAGTCCACCTTAGGTGCCTCCAACGGCGGATCCAGGGCCCTCGAGTGCCAGTTGAGCGGGGGCCCCAAGGGCGACCCCACCGTCTCCACCAACTCTGCACCCCCCTCTGATGTGGAGTCAGGCATTGCACGGGGGTTGGGCCCAGAAAAACCAGCTTAAGAAGAGTTTTGACGCTTGGTTGAATGCACCCGACTTTGGGTGGGGTCAGGTCACAGGGCCTGTAAGAGTTGTTTTGCGCGCCTTTCGTCGCCTTGGATGGGCGATTCGAGTTTGCCGAGACTGGATGGCGAATCCCGGGGTCTCAGTGGGTTCTGGGTCCCCGGGAAAGAGGTCGTTGCGCGTCGCCATCGATCAGGATTCCCGACGAGGGCTTGTCCAAAATGTCGCCACCAAGGTCGGATGTCTTCCGGCTGGACCTATGCTCGAGCCCATCGTGAGTAAGCTCCAAGGCCTATGAGCGGCAGGCCGTGGGGCCGAGGCTGCGATGGTCGGAGGAGTTGTAGCTGGAGGCAACGCTGCCTGGCAGGCCTTGTTCGAGGGGCGCCGCGTCTTGAGCCCGCTCTGTAAGTGGTGTGGCGCCCTGGCCAGCTCTCCGAAGCACCATTTTTCTGGGGCTGTGATGGCAGCCGTGCTGTGCGAGAGAACCCCGATTTGGGATGATTTCCAGCCCGTGGCAGGGCGGCTGGAGACGACGATCCTGGTTTCACCCGTTCCCTGTTCCCGTCGCCTGAGTGGGCGTGGCCGCCGCCCAGGGTCGACCTCTGTGTTCAGTGGCTTGTGTACCCCCCGCTGGAACCTTGGACGCGCGCGGGATCTGTTTGGGCGGTTCGGCTTTGGGCTCCGCGAGTGACTTGCTCGCTCGTGCGGGCGGGGGGTCGTCGCCGTCGATTTCGGAGGTAATGTTGTTGGGTCTCTCTGTGGCCACCTCCTCCGCCCCCTCCAGTGGGCGGGGGGGGGGGTCTATGCTCTTCTCATGACATGTAGGCACTTGGGCCCTGTTGAGACTGAGGTCGCAGCGAACTGCAAGGCGGCCCTGGGCGCGCGGGCCAGGGGCCCGGAGCATGACCTGACCGACATCGCCTTCAGTGAGATCTGGTGCGGCGTTTTCGCCAAGGCCAGGGATGCAGGGATGCGCGCGATTCGCTTGGCCAGGACCAAACACCATTTGTCCAGGACCAAAGCTCTTGACCGGGGCGTGCCTTTCTGGATCTGGTCTGCGGGTAGGGGTGCTGATCGTTTGGCCAAGGTCGCAGCTGAGTTGCATCCCCGCAGCCCTCGCATTCGACGGCTATACGCCGCGCAGGAAGCATATGTGAAGCAGAGTGTCATCCTCATCCATGAGACGATGAGGTGCCTTTCCAAACTCGGTCTCCCAGATGTTGAGAAAGTGCGGGCCAAGGTGAGATATCGTCCGGATCTTCTCGAACTGCTGCCTGAGACGCTTGGCGGCTCTTTGGGCCGCGTAAATAAGAAAGGTCAGCATGCGTGCGGTCTTTGCGGAGAGACATGTAGTCGTGCCAGCATCCGTAGGTTTCCGTGCAAATACATACCTAGTGTTGACCGCTCAGCGCACGGCTCACATTCATTGTTCCTTGGTGGGGGTCGGCTCGTGTGGTGCGGTCGTTGTGGGGCCTTCGGGGCCCAGCGCTCGAATTACCTCGCGGCTGTGTGTCTTGGCCACCCTTGGAATAAGGACTCCCGCCAGAGCTTGAAACTCCGAGCGGGTGTAGACCCATCCTCCAACCGTGAGTTTGGGGGGAGCTCTGTCCCGCGGAGGTGATGGGCCGTCGTCGTCGTCGTCTAACTTTGCCCGCCCTTGCGGCGGCCGCCACGACGGACAGGCTCGCCCGGCCCCCACCTTTCTTTGTTTGTTGTGCAGCATGTCCCACTGAGGGGTGTTACACATGATAGATAAATAGGGGAACCAGGAGGGGGAGGAGGAAGAGGAGGAGGAGGAGGAGGAGGAGCAGGAGGAGGAGGAGGAGAAGCAAGATGAGGAGGAGGAGGAGGAAGATAAGGATTAATAATAATAATAAGAAGACTACGAAAACGAATACCAATAATAAGTATAACAACGATAACCATAATAATAATATTCATCATAATGATACTACTAATACGAAAAATAATAATATTGAACATACCAATAATATCGATACTAAAAGTACAACAACGGATCATTATAAGCTTATTAGTAGTAAGACGACACATACAAATAATATGAAGACTAATGATAATAAGACGAGTACTACTAATACGTATCATAGTAAAACTCATACGAATATTACGAAACATACTAAGGATCATGATACTAGTTATAGTAGAAATACGAATAAGACCAGTAATAGTAATACGAATAATACGAATATTCATAAGAACGCGATTTCTACTACGAATGATAGTTCTGATAGTAAGAATACGAATAATAAAACGAAGACGAATAATACAACTAATCCTAAGAATCACCAGACTAGTAATCAGACGAATAATAATAAGACGAATAATCATAATAATGATATAAAGAGTAAGAGTACGAGCAATCATACTACTAGTACTAATACGAATAATACTACTCATAATAATACTAGTAATATTAAGACCAATAAGGAAAAACTGTACGAATCATAATACGAAGAAGCGGAGGAGGAGGAGGAGGAGGAGGAGGAGGAGGAGGAGGAGGAGGAGGAGGAGGAGGAGAGAAGAGGAGGAGGAGGAGGAAGAGGAGGAGAAGGAGGAGGAGGAGGAGGAGGAGGAGGGAGGAGGAGGAGGAGGAGGAGGAGGAGGAGGAGGAGGAGGAGGAGGAGGAGGAGGAGGAGGAGGAGGAGGAGGAGGAGAGGAGGAAGGGGAACATATCCCGATGCCGCTGGCGACTTCCTCGAGGTCCTGGTCGGAGATCGCCCGGGGAAAAAGTCCTGGGAGTTGCGGCATCGGTATCTTCTTGCCCCCCATTCTCCCCTCCATCACCTCCCCCCTGCCCTCCTCCCTCTACAATTACACAATATGAATACTACTCTCCCACTTCCCCTGATGGCGTCCGGAAGATGTTCGGCACCCCCCCGCGTACTGTTTTTTTACACACAGGATTCCCCGGAGTTGGGTTTTCGCTTGTGTTTTTTTCTAAAATGCTGCTCTCGCTGAGGCGCTGGCCTAATTTTCGGGCTCCCGCTCCTTCCGAATCGTGTTCCCGCTGCAGCGCTGGCCTCATTTCCGCGCTCCCGCTCGTTCCGAATCGTGCTCCCGCTGCAGCGCTGGCCCAATTTCTGCGCCTCTCGTTGTTCCAAAACGTGCTCCCGCTGCAGCGCCGACGTTTTCGATCCTTTTTAAGAAGCCCCAAATCTAGAAAATGATCCCCGGCAAAAACATTGGAGGTGATTACACATCCGGTGTCGATTCGTTGATTTTTGGGGCCGCAGAAAGCCCCCCCCCCCCCTTTTGGGCGGCGTCCTTTTCCGCACAGGATTCCCGGGAGTTTGGTTTTCATCTATGTTTTTGAAAATCCGAGTCTTTCCGGTCCTTCAGATCCGGTGTCGATTCGTTGATTTTTGTGACATCGGACCCACTCTACCATTACCCAATATGAATGCTACTCTCCTTTCACCCCTGCAGAAATTTGAGATCCGGGTGGGGGACGCGCGTAACGGCAGCGGGCAGCTGGCGCGGGTGCCGCTCCGGCGCGGTCGCGTCGTCGTCGTCGTCGTCTTCGTCGCCGGTCGTCCTCATCGTCGTCGTCGTCGTCGTCGCCGCCGTCGTCGTCGTCGTCGTGGTTGTCGTCGTCGTCGTCGTCTTCGTCGTCGTCGTCTTCGTTTTCATCGCGCCGTCGTCCTCCTCCTTTCCCTCTTAGGTAACAGGGCCAGATGCGAAGCCCGATTCGGTGAGAGGACAATGAAGTAGCTCAATGGGAAGGGATGGGAGGGAGGGGTAGGATGTCAGATGTTGACGCGAGCGCACCTAGCTTGGCCCCGCCCCTCCCCCTCTCCCTGCCTCCCGCCCTCCCCGAAGATCGGTCGTCCAGGCTGACAGCGTGGCTGCCCTGCGCCCGAACGCACCACCTCTTCTCATCCGAGCGTTATCCACGGCTGGAGCGCCCAACAGCTCCCAGCGGGGTGCGCCGCCCATCCCGCCACACCTCAGGGGCAATCGAAGGTTAAGTCGGGCCTGTCCCTCTACAGGAGGGATGTTCAAAAATAGTCAAAAAATAGTTTTGGGACGATTTTTCGACCATTTTTGATTATTTTTGGTTTATTTTTTTGAGTATTTTGTGAATTTTTCCATCCAGAATCCTCCTGTAGGGGGACATGCCCGACCTAAATGTAAGGGGAGCGGGGATAGGCTCAGAAGGGGGATGTGTCGACCTCCGAGCGCCCACTGCTCGCTCCTGTGGGCCGGACAGGTCGTCCCGCCTAGGAGTGCGGACTCGCCGCCGGGGGCGCATCGCCGATCCATCGGCGATGCAGCGCCGATCAATCGTCGATGCGTTCCCGCCCCCGAGTCAACGCCCCGCCCTGACGTTGCCCCTCGGCACTTCGAAGCAAACGTGCGACGCGCCGGCGTCCACCCGCGGTGGCCGGCTGTACCTGGAGTGGTCCTATGAAGTGGGGCAACAGAATCCAGCAGCAGGCAGCAGCAGTCATCCACACCTGCGCTACGGTATTGTCATCTGCAGCTTCTTGTCCCCCTGCTGTGGGGTCTGCCTGGGGTGAGTGGCTCGTGCGAAGCGCGGCCGCCCCCTCTTATGGCCCATTTTTTTTGTTTTGTTTTTTTTCGTGGACCTGACTCTTCGGAGGCAAGCCACCGCTCCAGTCCCAGCCCTCAGTACCTCGCGCCCTCGCGCAAGATAAGTGAACCGTCTAAGAGGCCGCGCCGAGAGGCGCGCGCGCGGACTCGCTTCCCGCGGGCCTCGGGGTGGTGGTGGCTGTACAGAGGGCGCCTTGGCACGGCTCCGGCGTCCGCCCCCCCCTCCCCGTGGGCCCGTTCGGCGTTGATTAACAGGGGGGCGACGCAATGGGGGGAAGAACGTGCACCTTTCGTGCCCCTCTGGGGCCCCAGGGGGCCCCTTTCGGGCTCCTCTGAGAGGTGTACCTTTCTTCGCTCCCCCCCATTAGTCGCCCCCCCCCTACGCGGCGCCCGACGGCCGCCGCCCCGTGCTTGGCTTTCCACCGCGCCTCGCGCCCTCCTGCATGGAGGGGCTACCAGCGAGGAGTGGACCAGGTGAGCGCAGCCCAGCTGCGAAAACTCGCCCTCGACGCAAAAGGGGCCCCTGAGTCAGCATCGCCTGACCCATCCCTATCCCGACTGGGCCATGATATGTCGGCCCCACCAGCCCACCCTCCTACGCGGGGATAGGCCCCGCGAAACCCGAAGGGATAGGCATATATAGTCCAGGGTCTGGCCCCCCCTCATGCTGATGCCATCGGGTCCCCCCCCCCCGCGATGGTCCCCGCCGCCCCCTCCTGTGGGGTGTGGTGTGATGCTGTGGGTGTGGAGTGTGTGTCGTGGTACTGTGGTGCTCAAGGGGAGCTCCAGAGGTCGTCGCCGCCGTCGTCGTCGGAGGGCTCCGGAGGTCGGCGGCGCCGCCTCCGCCGCCGCCGCTGTTGTCGTCGTCGTCGTCGTCGTCGTCGTCGTCGTCGTCGCCGTCGTCATCGTCTTCGTCGTCGTCGTCGTCGTCGCCGCCGTCGTCGTCGCCGCCGTCGCCGTCGCCGTCGCCGTCGCCGTCGTCGTCGCCGCCGCTGCCGTCGTCGTCGCCGTCGTCGTCGTCGCCGTCGTCGTCGCCGTCGTCGTCGTCGCCGTCGTCGTCGTCGTCTTCGTCGTCGCCGCCGCCGTTGTCGTCGTTGTTGTTGTCGGCGTCGTCGTCGTCGTCGCCGTTGCCGTCGTCGTCGTCGTCGTCGTCGTCGTCGTCGTCGTCGTCGTCGTCGTCGTCGTCCTCGTCGTCGTCGTCGTCGTCGTCGTCGTCGTCGTCGTCGTTGTTCTCCCCCCCCGTCCCATCTTCTGGGGGCGGCCCGTGGAGCCCTGGGACCCCGTGGGCCCGGAGCCAGGGCTCGGCCTAATGGAATCCTCCCCCCCGCTGCGCCTC